GATGCCATTAGAAAGCCAATGTTTCCTTTTACTTGATGGTAATTATGATGAAAAACTAAATAGATGATGTTTGTGTGCAGGAGCTGTACAGTGGTGGGAAAGATGGTAACCTGCTGGCATGGGTTCCTGTCGTCCGTAATCCAGATGTGGAAGAAGACTCAAAGGATGAGAAAAGGGTAAAGCAAAGTAAAACTACATTTGATACCAGAAAATAAGGGCAAAGGCTAAAACAGAGCTTTTTTAATGAATGCATTTGCTTTCATTATGTACAAGAACAGAGAATTGAGCAAAATGGAAAATCTCCACCCTTTTAAAGGAGAGGCTGCAGGTCTGCTTTCAAAGCTCAGATGAGAAGTCTCAAACTGGTTTTTCCCACTTTTGAATGCTCTCCCTCTTATTTGTCATTGAAAAACAGGTCTATCCATTTAAACCTCAGATGTTTGTAATGGAAAAACAAAACCCCGATAGTGTCACATTTATTTATTACACAAAATAACTGAATTCACTGTGAGGACAGAATGTCAATTAGCCCCTTAGCTGACAACAGGAAGCCCCTCAGTTTGTACAACTCACTAGACTTGATGTCGTACAGTTTTTGTTACTGATTTAAAAAAAAAAAGACCATAAAACTGGGATAATATTACTGGCATCATAGTCTTGTATTCCTGTTTCTTTACCATGTATTCAATTGCAACTTAAAATTTCATCCCAAAAAAGTCAGCCACGCTTATCTAAAGTTTGATCGCGTATATTTTTAGACTAACTTGTTTGGCTTTAAATGCATTCCTTATCTGGTATTATAAAATGTTCAGTTCGATAATTATTTTCCTAATAATACTATTTAGACATGACAGCATAGGAGCAAGGTTTCTTTTTAGGTTCAGAAATGTTCTGAGGTGGTTTTGCTGTCCTGGTTAAAGGACTGCTTACAGGTATGCCTCATCCTGGGAATCTGAAGTATGTTTTCTCAGCGTTAATTGGAACATGGTGACAATCGTTTACCTAATTCCTAATAGCTTTGTCAAACAAATAAGTTGTGGTTACAGGTGTGTTTTACTCTGTATAACCACATGTGTTCCTAATTTGGGCATGCATTTCCTGTTTTGTTTTCTGTAACGAATCTCGTAGTAGAAATGACTCTACTTTTTCATGCAAAGCTGAGGTGGATGTTTGAATTTCTCGTAGGGTGCTGCTGGCCTTCCTGCTGTGAACCCTGCCTTTCAAGACACCTGGAGCAGTGATGAAGATTAATATAGAAGATCAGAATGTGTGGACAGACTAAGCATGGGAAACCATCTTATATCTATTATACCTAATTTAAGCTGATGGCTGTAAGCAATAAATTTTTTGTTTTGGTTTATTTAAGCTGCTGCTATCAATCTTCCACGGCAGAGATGTAGACTTTATACCCTTAGAAATATGTGGATAACTGTATGTTTTGTTTAATGAAAAATCACTTATCATGTTTATAAACATTTTTACACGAAATTATGTATTTTTTTTTTATTTAAGATGAACACATAGAAACCTTTAGTAAGTATGGTTATATTCCCACATTTCTACTTGAATAAATATCTTGAGTCTTGTTTATATTTCTGTGTTTCAGCTTTTTGTATTATGTGTAAATGTACTTACACCCCTTTAATTCTTTCTTACTTAAAACCATCAACTCCGATGTATTTGCTTGAGATTGAATATAATACACCTACTTGAGAGGTGCTTAACTGGAGAGGAAGGGGAATATTACATATTTGAGAAAAAATCACTAAGCACAGATTGTATTTTTCTTCTTTGGAAGATAAATTTCAGATATTTCATTGGGTTTAGGTCTGAACTTTGAATTGACCATATAAGAATATGACTTTGCTGAAGAAGAGCATACTGACCAAATGATGCCGCCACTACCGTGTTTCACTGCTGCATGTAGGTAGATGTAGCGTGTTAAATACTTTACACGTTTAGAAAGTTTAGTTTTACTATCCATTGACAGGAGCACCTCTTATATGTATTTGCCATATCTCCTACATGTCTTCAGCAGTAATTTAGTTGTTGGGATAGATCACAGAGCTGTATGTTCACCAAGGTGAGACTGACCAGGAAATTTGGGCGATTGGAATTTCTCCAGAGTTTGAATCAGACTTTGATCAGTCCCTAAACAAAAACACGAGTAATTATATGAATCTGGCTTCCATACGTAGGTGTAGCAACCAAGGTCAACATGCTCCATCTTTATCAGGAACTATGGCTGGGTGGGGGTTGTCAGGGCCAGGCTCATGGTCTAATTCTTCTACACACACATGCACCAGATGTGTCCCATGGCTACAGATACTGCCTCCTACCTATCCCTATTTCCATACTGCTTCCCTACCACCTCCTGTCCCCATTCCTTTGTTCTATTGTCTTGAAAACTCACACTTTCCCTGCAAGGACACTGTATAGTTTTTATAAATCTAATATGCTAATATTATCTTCCTAAGGCAAAGGCCGTGGCTTTCAATGGCTCCAGCCTCAGGAACCTGTCCCCCAGTGTTTGTTGAAATGTTTCTCTTGGATGGGACGTTCAGGAAAAGATTTTGTTTTGCAAAGTAGTCTGATTCTGATTCATGACACAACTGTCCTGTTGACAGAAACCACCTGTGTTTTAATTTTATCCATGTGACGCCCTCCTGAGCTACCACATGCCTTTTGGCTGCTACTCCAGTTAATGCTCTCTTTGCTCAGCCACATTTCGATAAATTGGCATTTGAGCTATACTCTCTGAAATGTAAGTAAATGTATCCCTCACCTATCTACGGTCTTTTTTGGCCCTTATTCTCCAGTGTTCTCTAGCAAACACTCTGGGCCTTTACAAACCAGCTGAATTTGTACTATGGAAAGAAATAAATTCCAATAAATTTTTCTTATGAAACGCCAAACAAAATGGTTTCTCAATACAAATATATGGCACAATTTTGTATATATTTGATCAATAAGAATTGAAAACCATGTATCATTTGCAATTGATTTCACACTTCTACCATTTTTTTGTGTTTATTATACACTACTCAAAAAAATTAAAGGAACACTTTGTATAAAATAATTTTCATTTCCATCAAATGATATTGCATCCTTTTGTTCCTAACACATTACCCACTCCATATCAGTATAAATAAAAAGCATGATTTTTTTTTATCCCCCATTGAGATCTGATGTGTTTTCAAAGCACGTGAAAAATGTGAAAACGTTCACTGAGAAATGGACAGGTTAAATTAATCTTGATTGTCTTTTTTTATCAAAAAACAAAATTAAATGTAATAAGGGAGTAGCAGTAACCCACCTCTTACCCGATGACTGGTAGAGATAGATACCAGCTCTCTTGCAGCCCTGCAACGACAATCTAGTTTAGATGACGGATGGCCTTTCTTTTAAGTAATACAAATGGACTACTTAGATAGGCCACCAGTCAAAGGCGTTTTTAGAATCAAGGCACCCCTAAAATCTGAGTTGTCTTTTATACTGTATGCGATTTTAAAAATAAAAATATATAAAAGTGTAAAAACTGTACAGTAATATGTCTAAAAAGTTATATTGTAACCCCCAGCCTTTGAAATGGTTCCATCGATTCAGGACTTGTTACACAGCGCTTCACCTATACTCAATACCAAAATATTATTATTACCAGTCCTTCTGTTTGTTGAGGTTAAACTTAGGTTACTCTTTGTGTGAGATTAATTAGGAGTTAGCTGATCTTACAGGTGTTTAGTACCATTGTGTTGTTTAAACTTGACTTCCCAAGATATATGACAAGCTAACAGGATACCCATTAAACTATCAATCCAGCTGTGTGTGAGCAGACGGCCTCATCAAGGACATTAGTTTTTGTAAAAAAGAGCCAGATTAAGGTGAGCTCAAATCAGTGTTTACATCTTATAATAATCTCAAACACATTGCTTTGATGATCTCTCCATTTTTAATCCTTTCCAGAAGCACCAAAACAATTAACATATCAGTTCACCGTCAAGACTAGAAAAACTAAACATCTTTATTACATTTTCATAATCATCTTTACTATTTGCTTAATTTGACAATAACAGGGGGGAGGAGACGCAGAGAGAGCAGCGTGGCCGTCACCAGGCCAAAGTATCTAGGGGATAAGGCTACAGAACCGTTCTAATTCCCACTCACTTAGTTTGGCACACAAAAAAGAGCCTTTCATGAAAACTGGTTCAAAAGCTTTAAATGGTTGGAATTTTTTTTTTTTTTTTCAAAGGCTGCTCCTGCTTTGCTTGAAAAAGCAATGAGCAAGTGTCAAAATGTGTTTCGCACCTCTAAACCTCTGATCATAGAGTCACACATGTCTCCAGCCTAAAATGAAATACAGGTACACATGAAAAAGAGTGGATGCAACACATTCACACCTAAGGACTTATCAGAGTAGATTACCCTGCAGAAGTTTTGTGTTATTGACTCTAGCAGATGGTTTACCAACAGTTTGTATAAACCATACTTTCAAAGCACAGGTTCTCCTATTGTCATTTTAGGGGACATTTAAATCTGTTTATAAGGTTCTTAGTCAACCCCTGGTGAAACCAGGAGCAAGGAGGGGCCCTGAAACCTCCCTGTCTGCATGACACCACACCCTCCCAGTATTACACTTTTGCACAAGAAACAGTGTAAACATTTAAAGCAAAAATGCTGATTGTAATAATTGTTCTGATCAGATATATTGATTTAGATCTTTTTGTCAATATGCTTTGAGAAGAGTAGATAAGCTAGTGGAAAATACCCAGAACTATTGCTCACTTTCCCCCTTTTTTTCTGGTGCTCTTTCAATCCAGAATTATTACGTGTGTTGAACATGTATTGTTCTTTCACTAAATAGTACATAGTTTTCTGTGTGACATCACTCAAGAATGACCCTTTTTTCGTTTTTGACCCGTTTGACTACAAATTGTCCAATCAGCCGCGCAAGGGGCCGGTCTTCGTGGATAGCCCCGCCCCTTGTCGCTGGATCAAAAAGACTGAGCGGCCGACGGCGGCTCAGAGAGTGAAGCAGGGGGGAGCACACCTGCTGAGAGGCAACAGTTGGAAGGATAACCTCGACGGGCCAAGCGGGATTCTGCGTTCTGTTAGGACATTAAAGGTGTGCAAATTCTTCTTTTATTATGTCGAGTGTTGAAAGTTTGAAGTTAGTTTTATTTTTATTTCTTTTTTGAAAAAAAAAGAAAGAGGACGCGGCATCTTAAAGCGACCGTTGGTTTGTTTAATGGACTTAAATGAAGCGGCTCGGTTCGGTAACTTCCGTTACCGAGAGTCATGGAAACCTGAAAGGTGCTGAAAGTGAACTGGTGGTTTGTTTTTCTCACTCGTGAACTTTGTACAGGTTTTAATAATCAGGCGCGCCTTGAGAGCAGGAGCCTTTTAAACCATCACCATCTTCATCATCATCATCATCCTTAGGAAGGGGGGGAGTTGGGCATGTTGGGGCTTGCCGTTGGGTTCGTTAGGGTTGAAACTCAGACAGGTTCATTTTCATTGCAATCAAGGTTGACACACCTTGGAACCTGTCCACAAGGGTGGTGTTTGTTTTTTCAGTGATTTCCACTCACCCCAACCGCTCAGACATAGTTTAAACGTGCTAAAATAAAATCTAATGGACTTTACCTTTTTAAAACTGTTGCTATGACCACCTCTTCCACCCCAGATGTTCTCTATTGCTGTATTTTCTACGATTAATGATTGGTCTAACCTGTCAGGTTGGTCAAAGTGTAAGCAGTTACCTCATTCACTTAATACTTGAATTTTTTAATTTTTTTTTGGTCAGTGAGATCATGTTTAAATTGCTTGCATAAACTTACATAAACATATAGTTTTTCAGGTAATTTTTCTTATTTTGGTGTTTATGTTTGAGTCTTAGTGATGCCCATTTCTGCCTTTCTCTGAAAGAAGTGATGCAAGGAGAAGAACCGAAGAACTAGAAAATTGATCAATATATGAAGGAGGGGTCTTTTTAGTGTTTCCTGATTAGGAAAAGACCCCTCCTTCATATATTGATCAATTTTCTAGTTCTTCAGTATGACTAATAACTTGATAACCATAATTCAGGTCTTGCCACATGCCTGAGCTACTTCCTGAAATGACTTAAATTTTTTTTTTTTTGCAAGTCTCAGTCAGTTTAACTGTCTTCTTCCCTGTTGCTGCCCTTGGTTAGATGTATGCATGTGTTAGTAGTTAATGTCCTGTCTTTCAAAGCTTTGAAATGTGGAAGTTTAGTTTGTTTGTTTGTTCTAACCCTTTACCTTTTTCTCCTCCTCTAGGTGAACGACTAGTATCTTGCCTGAAAATGGAGCTTTCCAATATCCAGACGTCTGTTGCACTCATTTATGATAGGTTCATGCAAAATGCAGGTAAATGCTTGTCACAAACTTAACTTGTTTTCTTTTGATTCGTTCCCATTTTGTGTCAAACTTTTCTAACCTTCTGAACCTATTGCAGACTCGCGGACAGAAAACTGGCTGCTCATGTCATCTCCTCTCCCCCAAACGATCATCATTGTAGCCTACATCTTCTTCGTCACGTCGCTGGGGCCTCGGATGATGGAAAACCGAAAAGGCTTTGACCTGAAAGGAGTCCTTATTGTCTACAACTTCAGCGTGGTGGCGCTCTCGCTCTACATGTGCTATGAGGTGTGTTTTGGGCTTTTGTTTGTCTCAGCTACCTTGAAACGTCACAACCACTGAAATCGTTCTTGAATCTTAGATGTCATATCAGAGTGCACAGAACTGGTCTGAAAGATGAGTGAATTTCCTCATCTCAGACTTTTGACTCCACAACTGCTCAAAACTTTTCTTTTATCCTAAAGTTCTTAAATAAGATTATGCTGGATAACCTTTTGACTGATATGGACTGCAGCTGTAAATCTTTCCTAGCTCATAACTTGTTTTCTTCCAGTTTGTGATGTCAGGATGGGGAACTGGCTATTCATTTCGCTGCGACCTTGTCGACTACTCCAACTCGCCGCAGGCTGTGAGAGTAAGCTCGCTTTTTTAAACCGACCTCTTTAACTACTTTCTAAACTCAATGCAAACATGTCTTCATGAAATATTTGCTTAAATTTGATTTGAACTTTGTCCTCTAGATGGCAGAAACATGCTGGCTTTATTACTTCTCAAAGTTTATCGAGATGCTCGACACGGTAAGTGAGAAGACTGTTGATTTCTTCACCATATTAATGTTCTTTATTTGGTCAGTTTTTGACAGAAACTTTGATCTCCTTCAGATCTTCTTTGTGTTGAGGAAGAAGAATAGCCAGGTGACATTTCTTCATGTCTACCATCACTCCATTATGCCCTTCACTTGGTGGTTTGGGGTTCGTTTTGCCCCAGGTAAACTTCTTAATCTCCTTTGACAAAGCAGAACTGTCTTTACCCAAGTCCTTTCTTTTTTTTTTTTGTTGGCAACGTGACGTTAATCCAGATGCACTCCTTGTTTCAGGTGGATTGGGAACGTTCCACGCTCTTCTTAACTGCATCGTCCATGTTATCATGTATACATACTACGGGCTGACTGCCATGGGCCCCAACTACCAGAAGTACCTGTGGTGGAAGAAGTACCTCACTACCATTCAGCTGGTATGTTTTTATTGCTATTGCTTTTTATTTTTATTTTTTTTTTTTTAGACAAATCTCCAGTCACTGACTTGTATATTTTTTTCACCTCAGATCCAGTTTGTCATGGTTACCACCCACATCTCCCAGTACTTCTTCATGAAGGACTGCCCATACCAGTTCCCCATCTTTATCTACATCATCGGCTCGTACGGCCTGATTTTCCTGTTCCTTTTCCTCAACTTCTGGTACCACGCCTACACCAAGGGCAAGAGGCTGCCAAAGGTTCTGCAGAATCAGACATGGGCGCACCACACCAATGGAGTCATGAATGGAAACGTAGACCATGACAAATATCAGTGATGCGTGGTTCGGATGGTTTCAGGGTTGACCTCATTCACTCAGCCAAACCACTGGTGCTGTGAGCTTGAACCCAAACTTTTTTTGTACTATTTATTTTGGCTGCGTTTCTGTATCTGCTGTTAAAGACAATCTTTAAATTATCGCCAAAGCTTACATTTACAGAGGTGTTTTTTTTTTTTTGAAAAGCTAAAAGCTTTTATTCCACTTGTTTATACTGAAGGTGAAATTTGCTACAGAGACTTTAAATAATTGCCTTCCCACTTTTTTTTTCTTTTTTTCTGAAAGTCTCAAACTGAAACATGCTATAGAGATGCCTAAAGTAAAACTACAGGACCCTCAGCTGTACAGTCCACCCAGAGTTTATTCAAACTTTATACTCCTGAAATATTTTAATTTTTTTCCCTTTCCTCAATTTCTTCAGATTTAAATTGCAGTTTTTAGAAATGTGCACTGAGATGTTGGGGTTTGTTTCATCCACTGGATCTGACTATGTCAGCATACCACACTTTGTTTCCTCTTCATAATGCACATGTGGTCACTTCTCCATAGCAGCTGCCGATGGTACAGACATGCAGTGAAAAGTCCAGTCTCACTACAGTGGCATCAGTTTTCATTCCTGTCAGTTATCCTATGAAGCAATGTTGTCAATCTCCAGTGTAAACCTGATGGACTGCCGTGGTTCTTGTAGGATCCAGAACAGACCTTTAAAACTACAGCTGAAGTCTTTACTGAGGCAAATTGCACAATAAAGCAGTTGCACAACTACTGATTTTTAGGTGTCTCCATGAGAAAGCAGGAACGGCCGTGCTTTGTTTTAAAGCGGTGCGCTAATGACGTTTTCAGACACCTGGAGTTGGTTCCTTTGGCTAGGTTAGTTTTATATGTACTGATCTTAAAGTTTTGAACCTGAATGTTACTTTGGTCCTTTGGTGACTGAGGACTTAGGCTTGAGCTTTGTGTGGAAGGAGTTCCACCTTTTAATGAAGCACTAACCCATCCCAAAAGGTTTACAGATGACTAAATGTTGTCTTTTTTTTTTTTTTTTTTTTGTCAGACCTGTTTGTACCAGTGAACAATACTGTAAAGAAACCTGTTTATACTGTATTTTATATGTATTTATATGAAAATAAAAAGATGATTGTACTTTGAAGCTGTTAATGCATTTATTACATACATTTATCTCACAAATTCCCTTAAGTGCTCTGCAGAAATCACATCTTTTTAAATGGTCACATTTTACCTTTTCAGCCAGAAACTTCAATTCTACACTTATTGGCTCTTCTTTCTGTTCTGGCTGTGTTCCATTTTTTTCAGCTTTGACTAAAAGGTCTTCTGGTCAAACACACTTAATTTTAACTCAGGAAAAACAAACCAAAATGAAATGCGGCAGTGGTAGCATCACACTGTATTCCAGCACCTATAGGTAAGCTCGTCAGTATTAATAAAATACGGAGTTGGATTTTGGCAAAATCCTGAAAGATTGATTTTTTTTTTTTTGTGATTTCAAAAGACCTGAGACTGAGACACCTGTATGTTTGATTTGCCAAAAGTTTAGAGCTGAATAGTTCCAAACCTCAAAGCATGTTTCTCCTTAATCACAAAGATGGCTTCTACATTTTAAGTTTAGTCTTTTTGTAAAACCTTTTAACTTCAGTTATCCATTTCTTACTAAAAGAACTATAATAGTTCAATTGCAATTAATGGTGATATAGCAAAAGTTGTATATTTCCCAAAGCTGGACAAATGCAGGTCTGGTTGGGTGATCCCCCCCCCCCCCCCCCCGCTTGGTTCTCACTGTAATACACTCTTATTCCCAGTAGTTGGTGCTGTCACGCTACACTTGGTTTGATTCATTGAACTCTTAAATTTCTCAAAAATGTAGCTAAAGATTGACATCTGCCTCAGCTTTAACCTATAGTGTTTAATAAAACTAGTTCAAATATTCCAGGTATTTTTATCTGCATAAAATCAATTTAATGGTTAAATATTAACACATGTGAAATGGGATTTTCTTACCTGAAATGCAGGGTTTTTTCCACTGTTTTCTGTCAGATGTATACATTAAACCAAAGGTGCACAGGAAACTATTTCGTAGTGTTTCCATGCAACCTTAGAGCATCTGAGTGTTTTTTTTAAAGAAGAAAATCAAACCGTATACTGGAAGCCCACTGGTACAGCTACTGATTTAAAAGAAGTTTACTGATGAAGTATTTTTCTCATTAATGTTTTTTTTTTTTTTTTTTAACAGAGCAAATAAAACATGAACTATTATTGCAGAGTTAAAGGGTTTGAAAATGCATATTAAAGATAATTGTTCTCTAACATGATAGGTTTGAAAAATGTGGTCTTCTTCTGGTTTTAGTGCTAAAAGAACCAGATCATTATCAGACCAAATGTGTAGAACAGCACACAAAGAAGGTACTGGGCATGGATCCCTTCTGTCTTTCCATCTCCTCCAGTTCCATTATAATTCCCTAATTAAACAATTCCCTTCACATTCTATACTTGGGATAGATTTAAATGGCCCTTGATCACTTCAGTTCTTTCACAACACATTTTCCTAAACAATTACCTCTAGTTGACTTAAACTAAATGTCTCTGTAGACAAAAACACCTCTGGTACAACTCATGTGAAAAACGAAAGAAAATCGAGTATGTTTCAAGACAGAATACCTTCTTTCTCTTAGACTGATTTTTTTAATAAGAGCCACTGGCTCTAATTATTTTTGTTATGTGGCATTTTTATCTCCTCTAATTGTCAGAGATTTCACGTTAACTGCCTAATGAGCAGCTGAATGAACTCTCACTATCTTTACATAAATACCATTGCAAAAGGCAAAGGATAATGAGAAGTCATGATGGACCATTAACTTTAATAATAGGTTTAGAATGATGATGAAAAGTAAATAACAATTAATTACTGTTTGGGTGTAAGATGGTTCCCTGAATCAGTCTGTTTCCCTTGAACCTAGAGGGGATTTTTATACTATTACTCGAATAATCTGTTTATTTAGTATTCCTACTTCATTATGCATTTGATAACTTATTGTATATGCTGTTCCTTTCTGAAATATCAATCCATCCATTTTCTGTCATGCTTATCCGAAGCAGTGTGATGGTCCTATCACCAGCTGTCAAAGGGTGAGAGGCGGGGTACACCCTGGACAAGACAACACAGTGAGAAACAAGGCCAACAACCATTCATGCCCACACTCACATCGAAGGAGAATTTAACCTTACAGTCATGTTTTTGGACAGTGGGAGGAAGTCAGAGTACCCGGAGAGAACCCACGCATGCTCAGGGAGAACATGCAAACTCCATGCAGAAAGACCCCAGGCCGGGAATCAAACCCACTGCATGACTGTGCAGCCCTCTGAAATATCCATTCCCCTTTAGAGTTTTCTTTTTCTTTCTTTCTTTCTTTTTTTTTTTTTTTTAGAAAAAACCTTTGATTTTAATGTATTTAGATTTTTTTTTACACTCATTATTTTCTTCATTTGAACTTTACAAGACATGAATAAAAAACATGATCCATTGATCCCACCACACAACATATGTAACATAAAGGTTCAGCAAAATAAGAAAAAGGGACTGATACACACAGTAGTATACATGAGAAAAAAAAAGTATGGTTTTTAAAATAATTTACCGAAGTGTGACATACATGCAAGAGCTCTGAATGTCTAGACTGAGATTTTACCTGTTTTTGTTTGCGCAGTCCTAATAGATTAAATGAAGAACATCTGCCAAAAGACAAAAAACTGTTTTCAAATAATGCCACAGATTGTGATTGGTTTAGGTCTGGGTTATGACAGAAATGTTCTGACACTGGGATATGCTTTCTTCTAAACATTTCCATTGTATACCTGGTTGTATGTTTAGTGATATTTTAAAGTTAAGAATTCAACCTCTGTCCAGTTGGAAGTGTCTTTCACATGTTTGCAATGGAAAATCCTCTGTCTTCTGCTTTTTTAAGCATTTCCCTATTCTCCTATCTGAGCTCTGGGTCTTAATTAATCCTTATTTATCTTGATATACTGTGTATACCTTGATATACTGTATATATATATATATTGTTTATTCTTAATGCACCTTTTTCCTCCTTGTTTGCAGCTTCTTTATTTACTATGCCAATATGTGACCAGTGAATTTCTCCGCTGTGAGATCAATAAAGCTCATCTAATCTAATCTAAGTCTTTGTGGCTCCTCTAGAGTGACCATACGTTGGTATATTTACTTCTTCTCTGATGCATGTCCTCGCTTGATGACTTTTGAGTGAATATAAACAACCATATGGTCAGAAGTTTGGCAGCTCCTCCACTTATCCTTTTTCATGGCCTTTATTTTCTTTTGCTTGGTCTCCATAATGCTGTTTGTTTCTAAACAATCCCATGAATTTCCCAGAACTGGATTTATAGTGCGATTACATGAGACACAAGTGGACCACAGTGGATAACATTGAATGGCAACAGGCTGCAATGGATTTTATTTAGGAGTATCGCAGTAGAGGGGGGTTAGGATAAATGTTTCTTTTCCATTGTTTGTGGAAAACCCAAATTGAGACACAGATAATCAGCTGTTAAGATGTTTTTCATTTTTGTTCGTTTCACGGAAGATGTTTTTTCTGCATACAGTAATGTGCGCAGGACAGCTTTCGTTTGCTTTGAGTGGGATGTGAAGATTTTAAAAGGCAACGAGTCATTGCTCACAGGGGGAGGAGGGGATTGCAGATAAGAGAACGAAAGACAGGCAGAGGGTAATTGCTGCTTTAGTGGACTCTGTAATTTATCAGATCACGATTCTTTGAAGAAGCACCACCCTCATGCGCTTAGGATGTTGTTGTTTTTTTCTTTGTGGAAAAAATCGTGACCACTTTTTTGGAAGGAGTGCTGCATATATCTACAAGCCTTCTGATGCTCTATCCTTACCAAAAGGTTGACAAGGCTTACCTTGGGAAAATTAAGAGTCCAGGATAACAGTGAACAAAGACAAGTACCAACGATGTGGGAGAGAACGGCGGCTGCTGGAGGGGGTTACATGACCAAAAATAATAAAAATGGATAAACACTAAAAAAGGATGTCAAATTGGAGCATCTGAGCTCTAGTGACATGAAGAGATTGTGCAATGGTTGAGCTAAGACGTAGGAGGAACATGCCTGTGACAGTAATTGTTGGTATATTTAGATAATCATAGGTTCCAGCTGGTTCAGCTAAAGGTAACCTTTCTTGGAATTAAGCCCCTTTCCAAAATGAAACAAAAGAGCGAGTTAAAATATAGTTTGGTTTAATAGAGCTGGGGGATAGATATCATCTGTGAGGGGAGAGTAGAGTTCTGCCAGTATAGCTGGCACTACTCTAAACGTCTCTTTTATAAAACCTCCAAATTGGAGATGTTGCAGTGCAAAGCTGAGGTGTTTAGAGCTAAACGTACTTGGTGAAAACTTTTTAGTGGCGTTACACCCTTGTGTCATTGTTATTTACTCTTTTGTAAGCCACCTTTCAGATTTCACCTACAAAGGTGATGTTACAGCCCGGCGTCATTGTGCCTGACGTCCTTTTCTATTTGTCCAAACTTTCCTAACTGCCTGGGTTCTGCAAGCTCACAAGCATTAACTGCTTACCTCCACTTTGACATCGTTAGATGCAGTAATTGTGTGTGTTTGTTCCTCTGGGCAGGATTTTTTCCAGAACACGTTGTCCTCTCACCTCGCATCATGAAGAACACCTCTCTCCCCTCCTCTGAGGTGCTCGCTGTCAACAGCTTCTGCAGGCTTTCTGCGAGCAGAGCAGTGGAACAAACATGATGTGTTCTGAACCAATGGATGGAGCCGGCTTATGCATGTAGGCAGCAGCCACGTATTAGGAGTCCCTTAGGAAACTTATTGATCAGTGTTGAAGTTGATTCAGTCTCTTCTAATATAAATTTATGGTTTCATATAATCACTCATCCAGTTTGAGGACACTTCCCTAATATGACCGTCGACCAAGTTGCAACAATTTCCTCTCCATAATTCACATCTA